TCCCTTCCATCTAGAACATTCTAGACTAATAAGACCTGGTGGCAAACAAAGACATAAAAGAATGATTTAAACCAAACCCAACTAACTGCTGTCAAGTTGATACCAACTCATAGCGACCCCCTTTGGGTTTTCTAGGGGATAAATCTTTATGGAAATAGATTGCCTAGTCTTCCTTCCGGGGAGTGGCTGGTGGGTTTGAACCGGCAGCCTCAGTAGTCAAATGCCTTAGGGATTACGCTACCAGAGCTCCCGAGTAAGGAACAGCATGTGATAATTACAAGGGGATCATGTACTAATTTTTCACTATGACAATGGACAGTAAGAAGGAAAGGGCAAAGACAAGAGAGGATGGAAGACTGGGTCGAAAAGGGAAGAACATGGGCCGTAATAAAGGAAGAGACGCCAATGTTGGGTGAAAAATCTGAGGGACAGATTAGAAACCCCCCCCCAGGGCGCTACCGCGGCCCTTCCCCCACACCTTTTCCTCAGACGCCAACAGGCCATGGGGGCAGGGCGCGCATGCGCAATAACACACTGCGCCAACCGCCACCGCTCCCCAAGGCGGCCAGGACCGGCTGGAGCCGGTTAGAACCAGAGGCGCCAGCCCGCGAGCTGACGCCTCACAAAGGAAGGCGGCGGCGACTCACGGCCCGCGTATCCTTGCGCGGGTCTAGGGGGCAGGGCGGACAGTGCTCGCGTCGTGCCCCTCCCCGCCTGTTTGCGAGCCTTAGCTCCCACAGCTCTGAGGTTCGTCACACCGTTCCCCTAGAAGGCCGCAAACAGCCCATGGCCTCTAAGTACCTCCCGCCACACACTTCTACAATCTCGGCAGCTCGAGGGTTCTTGGGAGAGCAGAGTTGAGGTGGACGCTGGTGTCGCTGTGACCCGGCTCCTCGGCAGCCGTTAAAACTGTTTTGAGATGCACGTCTGAGAAGCCCACCACATTTTTATTTAACTCTTTAGAGCTTGTACACCAAGGTTTCACTTAGAATTCTTGAGACCCATGATCAAATTTTTATATTCCCCGTGGTCAATTTAGTTTATCTTTTAAGTTGGGAAATCCAAAGGGTGATTTTAAGCAAAGCTTTCCAAACTGAAGAGAAAGAAAATACTTTTTTGGGTTTGGAGAGAAACTTTTTACTACTTTTAAAGTTGGAGTTAAAACAGCGATAATGCAGAATCTGTATAAAAACAATAGAGACTAGGAAACCATAAACAATGGCTTATTACACATCTGAGAACATGCTCCTCGGCTTGCTGTGTTTTCTGAGACAAAACTACTTGCAGATTGACATTCTGAGAGCTTTCATGAGCATCTGAAAGTTTAAAAATGGTTCACATTTGGAAGGAACAGAGTTTAATCCAAGCTCAATTCAGAATGTCTGGGTAGGTAACCAAGTATAGGGGTCTGCTAGAAGTTAATAGCAACAACAACAACAAAAAAAATTGAAAATAACACCGAAGAGTTAAACCCCCAAATGCCTCAGATTTTAAAACCCTTGGTTTGGACATCAGCTTTATAGGAAACGGAAGAATGAATATATTTTGGCTAAGGTTATTGAGAAATGTCTAGTAGTGGCTTTTACATAAAAAAACAATTTTCAGATAACCCTATATTTCTCAGATTTCTCGAATAAAAAGAATCAAAATGTGTAGTGTAAGCTCATAAGCAGCTCACAAAGTTTCAAGCAGTTGGAGATGAACGCCGACATTTTTACTCAGCTGCTTCTAAAATGGCTGCGGTCTGCAATTACGAGTCTCAGTTACGTAATGGATATTAAGGCCATCAACAAAGCCATTTTGATCTTCCTTCAAAAAGCAGTAAATAGTACCTAGTATAGCCCAAGATAACGCAGAAAGTCTTTTAAGAGCTATTAAAAAATTCCCAAGTAATGACTCCCGAGTCTTTGTGAGCTGTTTGATACCCATTTGAAATGTAATGTTTTTTGACTAAATTTTCATTTAAAACTTACTTATTCTAAATAAAATATTTCTCGGTATGTAGTTTGCAACAAGTTACACAAACTTACGGAAAACTTGAAAAGTCTTATAACCAGAAATTATTTTTAATGATTAACAGGAACTACTTTTGCTTCCCTCACAAAAGCGGCGGAAGGTTGTTGCAAATCAGAAGGGTGTGAGTCGTCACCGTCTATAAATACGCCACTCCCCGGTCCTGCGGCAGGCATTCAGACAGCGAGCGCAGCGACAGCGGAGGAGATAGGAGGCTTTGCTTGTGAAACTGGCAGATAAGTGTTTTTTTTTTTAAAAAGGAAGGTCAGGAATTAAAGTAGCTCGTAAGAAATGTAAATAGGGAGAGCAGTTAAACAGTTCTTTAGCATTAGGTAGATCTTATTTTAAAATAATGAAGGCTTGTATAAAAGGTAGTCTGAGAAGGAAGAAGAAAAAATTATTTCAGAGTATGGCGGAGGTTAGGAAATGAAGCTTCTTTATGGAGTAAAAATTTCTTCAAAAGATTGCTAGGAGCCCAGAATTCAGGAAAACCTTAAATTGAAAATCTTTCAGATGAGGTTAAAATGAGTGATTGAAACAGCCTGAATGTTTAAATAGTTACGGTGTAGGTGATTAAAATAATTCGAGGGAAGTTTTTTTTAATTAAAAAAGGGGTTAAATTGAAGGTAGTAAACAGGCCTTCAAATGGATGGCGTAGCAATGATCGCGTCATTCGAAGTCTATGGTCAAGTTAAATTTTTAGCCTACCGTTTGCTAAAAAGAAACCAAAATAGAAAAGGCTAATTGGGAGTGATAGGATAAAAACAATTTGGAGACAAGTAGAAATTTGAAGTGGAAAACTCAGAAGTACAGAAGGTGAAGAAATTCTTAGGGAAGATAGAAAAACTGGAAGATAAACCAGTATGCCTTTAGAAGAAAGAAAGAAATATTTAGACAAGGAAACAGAACCGAACAAGGGCAAGGTACAAATTTAGAAGACTAGAAGATAGGATCAAGATAGAAAATAAGAAAATGGAAGTATTCCTCATAGAAAACAACTAGGTCCACTACTGGACAGAAGCATAGAAGAAGATAGACGGAAAAAAATAGAAGATAGAAAACTTGAAAAGTGAAATTACAAGCACTGAGGAAAAGCAGGAGGGAAGTCAGTTTTTAAAAGATTGAATGTGTTTCTTTTAAAAGACCGTCAGTTCAATTTCTGGTGATGCAGAAAGTTAAGGGTTTCAGAAGATGAGGGCGTTTAGCAGACCGTAGACCCAGGACCGACTTAGAGGAAGAGCTTGAAGCTTGAAAGGGAGGCAAGAAGGACTGCAATATTTTTCTTACAGCAAAGCATGTTGAACAGTTAGAATTTGAGAAATTTTTAGTACGGGAGCTTAGTTTACCTTTAAAAATCGAAAGGACTTTAACTAAATTGGAGTGCAAGATCAAGATTAAATACCCGCTTACTATTTCGCGTGGGACTCTGAGCTGAGGTGTGTGAGCCCTGAGGACTAGCGTTAGTGGCAGCTGCCCCGGGCGGGGAGTGCGGCTAGGAGCCAGGAGCGGTGATGGCGCGGGACCCGAGCAGTCGGCGGCGGTGCGCGGTGGCCTAGGAAGAGCAGCCCAGGAGCCGGTGTGGTGGAGGAGCTAGGAAGAAGGAAGGCGTGCACGCTGGTGTGAAGCTAGGCGAGGAGGCCAGGAAAGGAGCGGCCGCTGCAGCTTTGGCTGCAGCCGGCGGGCAGCGTGGAGGCGGCGGCAGCGGCGTGTAGATGGTAGCTGAGCCTAGAGCAGCGGGCGCCGGGGAGCAAGGGAGCGAGCAAGCGAGCGGTAAAGGCGAGTCCGCCTCGGCTCTGTGTTCGTGTGTTCTCCGTAACTGAAGTTTGGTAACCCACCTTTACTTAAATGCTTTTCTAATGGTACCGGGACTTGTGTACTTCGGTAAAGGGCTGTCTTACGAGGGTGTAGGCCGATTTCCGGGTGTCGTAGGTTTCTCTTTTTCAGGCTTGTGTTCTCATGCATCTTGTCTGAAGCTTTTGAGGGCAGACTGCCAAGGCCGGAGAAATGGTAGATGGCAAGTTTTTGTCTTAAAAAAAAAAAAAAACTTAAATTGAGGAAAAACAAATTCTAAAACCAACCTCGAGAAAATTCCAGCAAATTTGTAAGCAGTTACTTTTAACAGCTTGGTTAAAGATGAAGCTTCGAAGTATAGAGTTTGGGTGTGTAAGTCCGTGGGGCAAAGTTATTTTTTGTGTGTGGGAGGGCAAATATGTTCTGAATTCTTTTCCCTTTAGGTCTAGAATCCCAAAGACACGTGACTCAAGGTCACAGAAAAAAAGAAAATCCAGTATCAGGATAATCAGACCACCACAGATTAACAAGCAGGTGTAGACACTAGAGCATCAGTAGCTCGCTTTGAGGTCTGTGGAGGAGCTGTCCATTGGAGAAATAAATGGCTGGTAGATAATAACTTTCCCACCTTTGAGATTTTTTTTAAGTATGCAATGCAATCCCTTAAACTTGATGTTTTTATTTGAAGTATTTTGGGGTGGTCATCACAGGGAAGAGAAGGGGGGGGGGAGGAAATGTTTTTTTCTAAGATTTTCCACAGATGCTATAGTATTATTGACAAACTGGGTTAGAGAAGGATTGTACTGCTCTGCTATTGGCAACATCATCTCCAAGGATTGGAGCAGCTTTTTTCTTTGGAAGCGTATGCCCAGTTGAAGCTGAAAAGTACAGCGCAGTGCAGCTTTGGTTCTTAGTCATCTCAGGAGACCATCAGAAGAGCTTGACTAGGCCAAACGTTGAAGTTAAGTTTTCAAATAAGACCTTTTAAAATACCTGTTTTGTTAAGGGGAGGGACAAAATTCAGTTACTGACAGTGCCTGTTACGGTTGGGATTGGGGGGGGTTGGGTTTAGGTAATTGTTTAGTTTATGATTTCAGATATCTCATCCCAGAGCACTTAAAATACTTAGGATGAAAAACTAAAGAAATCTCAACTTCAAAGTTGGCAAGTAACTCCCAATGCTTTAGATTTGTTTTCTCTGTTAATTGGACCACTGGGCAAGTTAAGACCTCCTGGGTGTACCAGTGCATTAACTTGGGCAAGAAAGGTAACCATTTGGTCCGTTACCTGTTACTCTTTAATAAAAAGTATAGGGCCTAGGCAAAAAGAAGGACATTGGATGGGGGGTTTGATCCTGGCCTACTGGGCTGACCTCGTTAGGTAAAAACATTTTTTAAATGGTACCGTTGTTTGGATATGGTAGTGTGTGTGGTTCTCTTTTGGAATTTTTTTCAGGTGATTTAATATAACTTAATACTACTGTAGGAACTTCAGAGCAAAGGAAGTGGCTTAATGATCCTGAAGGGATTTCTTCTGATGGTAGATAATATATTATCAAGTAAGCTTCTATTTTCAGTTGTGTGTAAGCAAGTTTTTAGTGTAGGAGAAATGTTTTCTCATGTGACTGCAAACAAGACGTTAAGGTATGCCTCAATTTAAATTGTATGTTTTAAAACTGCATCTTCTATATCTGTAAACCACTGATGAGGAATTGTGATAGCTCAATGTTTCTAGAGGGTGGGCTTTTGTTGATGAGGGAGGGGGAAACCTTTTTTTTTTCTGTAGACTTTTTTCAGATAACATCATCTGAGTCATAACCAGCCTGGCAATATGATGGCCTAGATGCAGAGGGAACAGCTCCTTGGTGAATGATAAGTAAAGGCAGAAAAGATTGTATTTCATATCTCCATTGGGGAAAAGGCATTAAAAGATGTTTACCACTGATGAACAGAATCCTTATGTCTGGATATGCAAAAAAAAAAAAAAAAAGGGC